TCGCGCACGCGGCGCACTCTTGGCTAGACGGGCACAGGTACCCCGCGCGCGTTGAGCACGCGTTCCCCACACAGGACGGCACACGGGCGCGCACCGCGGGGCCCGCTTGGCACAGGTCGCATGAACCCAGCACGGGCTGGGCCGCGGACCCCAGGACGGCGCAAGGACACGCTCGGGACCCGGACAAACACACAGAAACACCAGAACACTTATCGCCAAGGTCCCGAGCACGCATGCCATAGTTCGCACGCCCAGAAGAGCACACATGCACACTCCGAAGACGTAGAAGCCGCACGTAATCACACACGCACTTGGAAAAAGGTTCGTGAAAAGCCTATGCACCCGGACCCTTAGCCATAATGACGCAAGAAAACGCAGGCACACTTGTAGCCTCACACACTGCAACCCAGGCACACCCCACGACACAAACACACTCTGCGACACGAACGCACGTTAGAGAAATAGTCGAGAGTGCCACATGCCCAGTCATGGCCAGCGCGCATACAGCGCAGAAACGCCCGGCATCTTTCTACATGTGCCCAGCGGTCCACACGGAGGCACGTGTGGAGCCACGTGAACACCTGAACATGCGAACACACTTGTAAACATACAGATGCCCGAGTACACGGTCGGTCACATACACCCCACACACGCCAGCACACACGCAGCCAGGGCCTTGGTCATGCGCAAACACAAACCACGGCTCACTCACACGCACGGCCATAGACCTGACATTCGCACGCACACAGACGCAGTCCCTAGAATGTACGAGCCACAGGCTCATGCTTACACACTCATCAAAGCACACGGAGACAGTCATCCAACACAGACACACACGCTCACATCCATCTTGGCCTGCAGGGACATGTGTAGGCACGCTCAGGTATGCTCGGTCCCCCACACCCAGCTGCACAGCAGGCACTCAGCATGTCGTCCAGACCCACTGGGAGGTGGGGTTGGGGGGTGCTGACCCTGCCGGAGACCCTCCCTCTCCAAAGAGTTCTTGCGGGGGAAAAAGCCTCCCAGCCTGGGCCTTAGAGCCCCACGCTCTGCTGGGCAGCTTCAGAGTACCAGCAGGAGCTGCTGGGCGGCAGTGGGGGGTAGTAAAGGTGATTAAAGGTGTTTAACTTCCTCGAGGTGAGCACCTGGCGGTGGGGCCTTTGGAGCGGTCGTTTGTGTAGGCCTCATTTGCATAGGTTAGTTTGCATATGCATCCCAGGTGCAGACAGTGGTTGCTCACCCCTTTCACGGCCTCTCCACTTCATGGTCTCCCCTTTCCCACCATGCTGGTGGAGGTGGCGGGGGACGGGGTTGGTCTCTGCCACTTTGAACCTGGGGTGGGGGGCCTTGGCCTTGGGGCCATCTAACAGGCCCCGGAAGCTTTGAGGACACACTTGCTGACCTGGGGATAGATGGGGGAAGTTAGGCCAGGGGGAGCCCCCAAGCACACTGGCTCCAAGACGCTAAGCCTGGACTGCGGAAGGCACATGGCTGGGGTGGAGACCCGGCTGGCTCCAAGGATGCCGGAGGGAAGCCCCCACCCCCTTGGGGAAGGAGCCCCTTCCCTGGTGTTTTCTGCAGAATTGTGGGGGGTGGGGGGTGGGTTGGGAATGAATTTGACGACAGGTTGGAGGGAGCGTCACTCAGTAGCCACCCTTGACTGGGTGCCCACCCCGTGCCCCTTCTCTCCTTTCAAGTGAAGAAACCAGTCCAGTAGGTCTTTTGCCCCAGGCCCCTGGCCAACAGGTCCCAGCCTGGAGGTCCAACTGTCTATGCATGGAGATCACCATAGCTTCCCTGACCCCTCCTCCTCTCTTCCCTCCGAGGACCCTGACCTCAGCCTCCAGAATTATCCAGCACAGTGCAGCGGGCAGGTGGGGAGGGCTGGGTTCTCGGCCGGACACTAAGTGAGGGCGGGGATCATGGGGCTGAGCGGCCCGGGGTGGGCACCTCCCTTCAGACCAAGTCACGAGGGGCGGTGTGGACTGCAGGGAGCACCAAAGGGGGCCACGGAGGCCATCGGTGTGCCCCCACCTGGACCGCTACCTTGCCCAGCCAAGTCCCTTTCCACAGCTGGCCCTCTCTTGGCTGGCTGGCTGGCACCTTTTTGTGAATCCCAGCTCCATCCCCTGACTGCTGAGGGCCCTGGGCCAGTCACTTCCCCCCAACCCCCAGCCCAGTTTCCTTGTCCATAAACAGGGATGCCACACCTGTCCCCAAAGGGAACTCGGGTTTTCGTAAGTAGAAAACCACTGTACTCACAAGGCCTGGCCCCTTTCTGCCCTTCCTCCAACAGCTGCCACTGGCCTCTGCCCAGTCAGCTAGAGAGAGAGCCGGAGGAGGGGGCAGGGGGCCTTCTGATCGGGCCTCTTCCAGAGCCCCCCCCCCCGCAGGGCTGCTGTGAGGCGGGGGGCCTCCTGCCTGGCAGGACCTGTAAGCCTGGAGCTTTCTGTCGGTTTGTTCTAGTGTCAATAAAGGGTTTGTAAATTCAGGAGACCAGAGATTTCTTTTCAGCGAGAAGACAAGAGAAAGCGTAGCTTAGGAGCGGTGAGGAGGGGGGCTGGTGACTGTCACAGGCTTCAAGGCTGTACGGAAAGCACGAAAATGCCAGTCGGGTACCTTGGGGAGAAGTCAGCACCGTCTGCTGTTTGCAGGCAGACCCTGGGGGCTGGGGAGTGCAGAGCCGGAGGAGCCGGGACAGCGAGCCTCTCTCCGCGCACTCCTCCAGCCCCCTCCTCCCCTCCTCCCCACGCCCCTCCAGAGGAGGCGCGCAGCCCCCACCCCCACACAGCATGGCGCGGCAGGTGGTCTACACAGGTGGCAGGGGCTAGACCCGCCAACCCTGGGGGTGGAGGGGACCAGGACCCAGGCTTTGGCAGGGCACCTTCCCTCAGCCAAGCCGAGGGGCTCTGCCTGAGGACTAGCTCCGCCGGCAGCCGGAAAGTGTCCCCTGTTCCTTCTGCCCAGAGGCCAGCTGGTTGAACAGCAAGGGAGCTGGTGATGGGTGAGAGTTTTCTGAGGGGACCCAAGAAATGTTATCTCCAGCCCCTTCCGCCGCCCTGTCCCCCTCCCCGTCCGCGAATGCTACCGCCACCCACCGCCTGCACCAGACCACTTCTCCCAGGATCAGCGACAAAATGCTGCTCAGCAGAGCCAGCAAGGTCCAGCCGGAGGGGCCCCAGAGACCACCTACTCCTGGGGGTGCACCAAGGGGCAAGGTGTCTGGGGGGGCGGCCTCGCCTCCTCCTTGACATCGCGCTCTGCACCCCAACCCCCAACTGAGAATCTCCAAGCCTGAGGCTTTGTTTCTGCTTGGACTGGGTTGTGGTTTGGGAGGGGTCTGCACCCCCACGGGACCAGTCCTGGTGGAAAGTTACATAGTTGGGGAAACTGAGGCCCAGCAAGGCCTCACAGGAGCTTTTGTTCCCTCTTCCCCCTCCCCACCCCCAAACACCGTGCATTCTCACATTCTCCCTGCAAGAGAGGACTCTGCTCTCTCCCCTGGCCCTGCCTGAGATGAGGCAGGACCAGTGCGGGGAGGGGGGCGGGGCGCTGGTTAGACCCGAAACAGAAATAGCCAGGAGACAGCGGGGCAAGGGTCTCCAGAAGCCACAGCCCCAGGATTAGGGATTCACAGGCAAGTGGGGGCCACCTTTGCTGCCTCTCCCGCCTGGCCTCTGGGACTGGACTGTGGGTTAGCACCACAGCAGAGGCCATCGCCTCGGGGCCTCGTCACGGCTGGGCTGGGTGGGGACCGCAAGGCCCATTTCAGAGATGAATCCGCGGAGGCCTGAAGCTCCCCAGACAGCAGCGCAGCTAATGGGTTGCGGGACGGGATTCCAGCGCGGCTGCTGGGAACCCGAGCACCAAGCCCTCCGCCGGCCCAAAGGGCACCCCGGGACCCTGCCCTGTGGGTGGGGGCGCAACCCAGCCATTTGGGGGGGCTGTGAGTGTTCATGCAAACACCTAAGAGATGCAAAGCCGCCACGTGCCCGATTCTTTTCTTAACTAAAGTTCGTCTTGGGAGAGAGAAATCCTCTTTTTTCCTGCGGAGGAGGAGGGGGGGGCCGAAGGCGAAGGAGAGAAGAAATGAGAGGCGCACCCCCGAACGGTTAGGCTCAGAACACGAAGGCTGGGTTTCAAGTTCAGTGAGCGAGAAGCGTCTTCTTCTGCCTGGAGTGGCGTTGTGCTCGGCCGGCCTGCGGGGGCCGTGGCCGCGGCCGCGCT